ACTTAGAGCCTGCATGACGGACGGAGGAATTGATCGATCAATAAAATAATTACAGCAGCTGTGAATCGAACTCACAGCACCCTACAGCACCCCACACAGATCGGCCTGGGAATTGAAGATAAGAAGCATATCTAGATTTACGGGACAACATACCCCACTGAGCTCACCAACAAATCAGGACATAACCGCGGTTTTACATACTTACGCGGTCCGTCAGTGATGGTTGATGGTTGTTCGTCTACAAGGGTTGGGAAAGAGCTGGAAAGAGCTCATGATACGGAACGTCAAAGGTTACTTGAGTACATCACCATTTTGCGGCTACATGACGAGTGTTATCTTGCATGGTATGTACTGTTAGCGTTACTAGTATTGTATCGGTCTTGAAGTCCGAGTGTACGCATGACAATGATCTGGCACAGAGACAACCACTTGTAGGGAGGTGGCTGTGTAACTTGAACAGCATAGAGCCTGAGCTAACGACTTTGGTCCAACTGACAGACAGTGAGCCGAAAATAGTTTCTTATCAAGTTTGTTTCTCTCACGGTACAAAGCACCACAAGTTATGTAACAAACAGCTGCAAGGCCACACCATCCAGCGCAGTATTGCTGGCACTAATACTAGAATCGGTGACTAGATCAGTCCAATGGATTCAGAAGGGTATTCTCATTTCCTGAGCTTTTTCCTGAATGCTAAAACTCAAACTACTTCGTTCTTACTTGCCCACCCGGGCCCAAGCATTTTTTCTGGCACCACTTGATATCATTGTACCCGTGCTTGTATTCGGACACGAACTAAATATGGTTGGAGTCCTGTTTATCGTTAACACACAGGGCCTGACGGTCCTACCGTCCCGGGCCACAGTAGGCCACAGTGTGATGCTTCGCTTATCTCTGAAATTTCCGCCACGAGGGAGATAAGAGAAGCATCAAGCTACGTATCTTCGCGGCAAATACGTTTGTTTATAAACTACATATGTATTGTTTAATTTCCATGTGAGCGTGAGTCTTTGCTGCTTCCCTCTTCGATTAGCGTGCTCGTCATGGTCCAGGCCGCACTCCCTTCTCCCGTGGACAGCACGGATGAGTTCACTAAGAACGAGAAAGATCTATCTGCTGCCGTTTATGAAGTACCGTACGGTAAAGAAGACGGAAAGCATGAGGATTCGGACGTTGACAGCGATATTCATGTCGATGTCATTCGGAAGGCTGAAGATGTTGCGACTGCAGTGAGTCGCTTACTTATCATTTTTCTACGAAGCTCACTGATTGTTTGACGAAGGTTATCACGACCGACGATGATCCTACTTTGCCGGTCTGGACATTCCGTACGGTATTCCTCGGTATTGGCTTGAGTGCATTTGGGGCTGTATGTGTTTGACCAAGAAGCCCCAATCACCTGCCAGTGCTCACTCAGATGTATAGGTCTTAGGAACAATCTATACGTTCAAGCCTCAGGTAGGCATCTCAAATGTTAATTTTTAGCGAAGATGAATTGACACGAAGTAATAGAATGCCACGGTGTCGCAACTCTTTGTGCTTATCATTGCATATGTTTTTGGGACAGCGATGCATAGTACGTAGGGATCGCGTGTAGAGTGATCAAACGTGACTGTTCTATTAGAGGTAATGCCCTCTAGCGGCTATTGGCGATACCTCAATCCGGGCCCTTTCAACATTAAGGAACACACGTGTATTGTGATAATGGCATCTACGGCTTCAACGGTTGCCACTGCTATGGAGATTATCGCAGCTCTAAGTAAGTTCCAAACACAGTTTCAAACTTAGTTTTCCTTACCTCACACTGGCTGCAGATCTCTTCTACGATGTGCGCCTCAACGGCGCGGTGGCCATGTTTCAGATTTTCTCGACCCAGATGTTAGGATACGGTATCGCCGGAATCCGTAAGTTACATGTAGACACCTCGACCTTTTACAATTACTGACTAATCCTAGTTCGCACGCTCCTCGTTTTCCCAACCTAGTAACTATCTTTGCTACTTCACCGATGATGACCCTACTGACTGTGCCACAGCGCCTTCTACCCCGGAAACATATCTGTCGTGCAATTGCTGCAGTCTTTGCATTTCGGCGGTTTGTTAAATCACAAAAAGCGACGCTATTTCTGGATCGTCTTCGCAGCCATCTTCTTCTGGGAATGGTAATCATGTACAACGTTCGTCTCAACTGCAACTTATACTCATCGCCCACAACTTAGGATCCCTCAATATCCCTTCCCGTTGCTCACAGCGATTTCAATTATTTGTTTGGCTGATAACGGACGTCACTCGTTTTTGCGAAACCTATTTGGTGCTGGATCTAGCAACGAGGGCCTCGGATTGCTTTCTTTCGGGACATCTTGGACGCTCATCACACAAGGGAACCCTCTAGTATGGCCGCTCCAAACGCGTGAGTAATATTTAGAGCTTTATACCATTGCATCGTTTACCGAACTCCTACACCGACCAGAGGTTAACTCGTACAGTAAGATACCCTCCCTGTGTTGAGGTCTTCGCTAAAACCTTTCAAGTTGGCATGGCTATTGGATACATCGTCCTGACTACGGCTTACTACGCGAATGTTTTCAATGGACGTAACCTGGTCTTCATGTCCACCTCGCTCTTTGGGTTGGACGGGAATGTGTACAACCAATCTGCAATTTTGACGCCTGATTTCCAATTGGACCCCAGCAAATTGGCAGAGGTTGGTCCGCCAAGTGAGTGAAATGAGCCTATCAGCTCCCACATTGACTATTGTTTTTATTTACTTCGAATGGTAGGGTATACCACCACTTATGCCATCTCAGGCTTGGCGTACAACATTGGCCTCGGCGCGGCCATCACCCACGTATTCCTATGGAATTGGAGAGAACTCAAAGCAGGTTCGTGTCTTTGAGCGACCCGGTAAAGCCCATAGTTCTCACGTGAAATTTCCTAAGCTTTCGGCGGTTTCAAATTCATGCGCTCCGGCCAAGAAATCGACGACCCTCATTACCGAAGTAAGTTATTGTATATTCTTGCATCTTTAGAGTTTACAAAGGCTCCCTTTATATTTTCAAGAAATGCGCGTCTACAAGGAAGTCCCTCAATGGTATGTAATTAGTCACGAAATGATAGGATTATGATGCTGAACTCAATTCACCGTAGGTGGTATCTCACCTTGTTCACCGCTTCTCTAGGAGTGGCTATTGGGTGTTTGTATGGTGGCACTGGGAAGCCTCTCATGCCATGGTGGAGTGTCTTTTTGTTCACAGCCATGAGCGCATTCTTTGCCATATTCCTGGGCTTCAGTTCGTTCTTTCATTTTTTTCCTTCGTTGAGTGGCGGGATTGATTGATTGATGTACAGTTACGGCAACGACAGGATTCAACATCGCTGTGAAAGGAGCTATTCAGATCATCGCGGCCTTCGTTCATCCCGGACAACCCATGTAAGTATCTCGGCGAGTTGGCCTCCGTTGTGATGTTGAGAACCCAATTTCAGCACCAACATGTACGCAAACCTCTTTGGCAATAGTACTTCTTTCCAGACACTGTACATGTTGCAAGGTAATTTCCCTTGGTCAACAACTCTGTCAACATCGCCTGATCGCCCTGCTCAGATCTCAAACTAGGCCAATACAACAAGATTCCACCAAGGCTAACCTTCGCTAGCCAAATGCTTGGCAGCATTGTCGGCTCCATCTTCAATTACACGAGTACGTTAATCTTCGACATTGGCTCAACGTTGCTGTACTCCAAAATCGAGAGCGCTAACATTGCGTCATAGTGATGATTTCCATTGTGGATAATAATCGCGCGATCTTGCAGGATCCTGTTGGAAACCGTGTGTGGTCGGGCTGGGTTATCCAGCAGTTGAATTCGAGTGAGTTTTATCAAAACTGAGACACGGTGAGGCAAATTGACAGGGTCTCTTCAGATTCAATCGCTATGGGCGCGTTGGTGAAGGTATGCTCTCTCCAAACCGCCATTCCTCATGGCCATTCAAGTTCCTGATCTCCCCGTCCAGGAACTTTACACAGTCGGAAAACCATACTGGCTGGTGCCGTTCTCGATTTTCATCGGATTCTTCACGCCATTACCGTTCTATCTCATTTATAAAATGTGCCCAAAAGAGTCGGCTCTCGCAAAGACCATGGCATATATGCATGTTCCTATCATCGCCCTTTATATCGGCTACTTGCCCTTTAGTGTCAACGGACAGTACGTGGGCTTTCCCAATCGTGGGTTATGCGAACTCATACTTATGCCGTTCTGCAGGTGGTGGTCGTGCGTTGTCATTGGCTTTGCATCCCAATGGTGGGCGCGCACCCGTAGACCCGCGTGGTTCAAGAAGGTAATGGCTACATTAATTGTAATGCATACATGCTCACTTGTTTTACTCCAGTATAATTACCTCACCTCAGCTGCTTTGTATGTATCATTGCTTTATGGCTAAGGGCTGCACCTGATTTCTCTTGCAGGGATGGTGGAAGCCAGGTCATTCTTTTCATCCTGGTATGATTTTTCACTGAATGATTTTGAAACAATCCTCATCGTACTTTCAGAGCTTCGCTGTATTTGGAGCTAGTGGAAACAGTGTGCCTTTCCCGAATTGGTGGGGGAACCCTGCCAATCTCTCAGTGGATCGTTGTAAGGTAGGGTTTGTATAAAGCTATTGTTTCTCCTTTCTGATATATGTTTCAGGCAACCGATTCTTGATCTGCGCCTTGATTTTTCGAGTGTTGTACCCTGGTGTTGATGAACGGGAATCCTTTGAGACGTCGTGTGAAGAGGCAAATACATGTATTGCATTGTTACAATTTTTTTTGTAAACGAATAGGCACGGGCCCTTATTCACTGTGGAGTTCCTTGGCTTCAAATCACACCACAGTCAAAAGCTATCGGCTTACCGTCCTTTTCTTGAATAGCAACTCAGGTACAGCGGTTTATAAGTTTCAGCCAACATGAGGTGATAATAAGGCATCGTTTCGGTATTGGAATAAACTATGAGAATGACGTTTTAGACTGGGGTGGGGTAGTGGTAACCTTAACGCTTCCCAAGTTTAAACCTTCAACAAGCGTTAGCGCCGGGTTCGATTCCCGGTCCCAGTATGTTGTGTTGATCCTTCTCAAATCTACCGAGTTTTGGATCGAAGCAATTTTTTATTTTTAAAAGTTATATGTACATAACAGGATTGCCCGTGCTTATCTCGAGGTCCATACAACCATAGGAATGGAGTGTCGGAGTTTTACATAAGATGTTCCTTTCTTTCCTCTCGTCCATTCATTTCTTTTTCGGATCCCTGTTACGACATTAAAAATGAAATTCAGGCGTGGCCAAAATGTGGCCCACAAAGGAATGACACAGTGGGGTAGTATATAAAGTCTTTCTGCGTGCATTTTCACCACCCACAAACGTTTGTATTATGGACGCTGCTGCAGGAAAAGAGTCATCAGCTCCGCAAAGCCAAATCTCTCTCCACCCTGCAACTTTGTTTACACAGGCTATAAGGGGTGGCTTGGATGTAGAACAAGACTCCGCGTCCATTGGATCTTCGGTTCGTGCATAGCACTCTTCAATTTTGCCACTCATTCACGTCAGACATCAGGGAATGTTTTCGTGTTCCATGTCTGACGGAACTTCTGCCTCTGATGTCTACTCCTCGTCAAGCAGACCCACACCAGACATGCCGTTGACTCCGCCAAATCCAAAAACCAAGTATCTCGAGACTCACAGAGAGGTAAGCTCAGCACCTGCAGTACTGAGGACTGTGCAACGATATGATGTGGTCCGTCGTAGGTTTAAGTCAGGCGGGTGGGACCGATTGCTCATGCCCCGTGTCAGATTCCAGACGATAGTCCGACTCTGGGAAGACTAAAGAGCCAGCAGATCAACCTCGTGAACTCGGACAATATGGATGTCGACAAAGATGAAGCGTTCGAACATAGGAAGTTGTTAGCTCCCATGTTTGAGGCAATGGCACATGCCCCTGGACGACTGCAGAGACGCAATAGTCATTCGAAGATCTTATAAGGTGAGTATGCCAGTATGGAACTCACGTAACTAGCAAAGTACTGATTTTACTTCGATGCCGAAAGGCCATGTTATAATACCATGTATATGTATATCCACGGGGCTCGATATGACTTTCTTTACCAGACTGAGAGATATTAGTACTTGGAGGATATCATAGCGTACACGTAACCCCAGGCTAAACGATTTCTTGGTACCAGTTAGCTTCTAATTGAGCTATCCCCAATCAGATGGAGCCATCGACAGCTTGACAACCAGAGAAACTCGGATAGGTTGGAATAGCTCCGATTCATGGGACTTTAGGACCTGCCACAAGCATTGCCGCTTCTTGCTCGTTAAACCTAACAGGGCATTGGTGCAAATAAGACTCGGTGCGGATGGGTAGACGTGCTCGGCTCGAGCTGCGCCGAGAGCGCTGAGGCAATTTTTTGGAATTCAGCCTTCTTTAGCCATGCCTCACAAACGGGCCAAACTCTCCACGCGCCAGAATGAACGCACCAAACAGTGAGTAGAATCACAAGCTAATTCGTTACCGTATTTGAAGTTACTGTAGCGGGACAGATCTCCCGCCTACAGGCGGCGTGTCGCTCGCCCAAGAGAGCGTCCCGAAATCTATGGCGCGTGTGCTGCAAGCTGAAGGAGTAAGGAACGCATACAAAGAGAAGCGATCACGGAACGATGATACAGGAGAACCTGAGATAGGTGAACGAGTGGCGAAGCGAAGAAAGAAAAAAGAGACAGGGGATGTGAAAAAGCCGTCAGAGATCAAGGTACGATACATAACATTTTATCGTGCTCCTTAAGTGGTAATGCTGATTTGGAATAGCATGGCGAGAGTCTGGCCCAGTATAATCAGTATGTCGAGGATGATTATGTATCAACCACAACTAAATATTATACAGGAGAGTGGAGGAGGAAATGCGTATCCCAGTCTCAGAAGCAATGCAGGCCTCCCGTGAAACAGCCAAGCGGGCTCGGAAAGTCGACGCGCAAACTGCCAAAGCTGCAAGAGCCGCAGCCAATAAACCCAAGGCCACCCAGCCAGTACCCAAGAAGGATGCGCCACCGCCGCCTGATGGTGCCACCCCGAACCTCAAACCAGGCCGTAAAACGGAATTCGACAGGAATACCACCAGGACACGGTTGAACGACATCGTCCAGGCGCCGCCGACTCTAACAAAACTTCCCCGGGGAGCACCGAAACGTACCGCACCGGGATCCGTAGGGACTGGTGCCGGGAATCCAGAAGTGGTGTCGATGGCGCAGAAGCAGATGATGGAACAGGAGAGAGAGCGAGCGATAAAACGATACCGGGAACTCAAGGAGAGTAGGTTTGTAACTAATGCATGAGGCACAGAAAAATTGTGAACCTATATCGGATGGTTTACGGTGTGCGAGTAAGCAACGGGTTTCCAATCATTGACTCGCTGTTTTAACTAGCCCTAGGTCTAAGTACCGAGACGCATGGCCAACGTTTTGATTTGTGTCCGTCTGAACATCCATCTGCCTTCCTCGTAAATAAGTGATCCGTGTGGCTAATTCTCATCGGCTATATCTGTCGCTGGCCGCCTCCTATCGGAACACAAGGTTTACCGGTTCCCGGTACAACAGGGTACAACCTCCACTTATTTCCTCCCCTGGAATCACAGTGGGGGACAGGGTAGATTCCCCTGGCCGCGACGATGTTAGCTTGCCTTCTTGATGAAACACTGATTGTGCGCTCGGTTCTTATTACTGGCGAAAAGAGCTTGGAATGGTCTGCTGACTGCCTGCTCTCAATGATGAAAAAGCTCTCAAGAATAAATCAGCATGCGATGGTTGATAGTTGGATCCGAGGTTACAAGCAATAATTGTTACTTTCCAACGGTGCTTCATATGAATTGACTCCCATCGTGCCCAAAAGTCGGGACTGGTTCAAGTCTGCTCCCTTCCTGACGAAACACCATTGATGATTCCCATTCTGCCGTATCTCCTTTTGACAATCCTTTGAAGCAGGCTTCAGGACTGAGATAATAATTACTATAGAATTCGCTCGTGTAATTGTATATTGCCGTTCCTGAGATCTCGTCGCAAGCGCGGAAATCCGCGAGAGATATACCTACTTCGCGATGTAAGGTTACCCGAGGGCCACCAGTGTGGCACGTCCGTGAGTACGTCTCGTCTCAAATCACCCTTGCTACTGGAGTGCCTCAGGGTTCTGCATTGGCAATTAAGTTGACCCCTTTCCATATGTCTGGCCCCTTCAAGTTAGACTTCACGTGCCAGATGAGCTTGTACCTCTCTGCCTTATGTAGGATGTGCACTAAAGGATAGGCAGCAGAGTCTCCATGGACCATACCTCCTCGGCCATTAAACGAAATAAGAGGCAAGAAAGCGACTTTACATGCCTGGAATCCAACTTCGTTGAAGCGCTTTGCACGCACAGCTTTGAACTTGGAACCTTATCATTCCTTAGATGCTGTCAATCTTCTCGGGCATTGGTGATCCGCAAACCCATGCCTAAATGCTCGAATCCAAATTAGACAACTCATGAGCAATCATGCAGTGCGCGGCCGCCAGGTCATACGCAGGGATTGTGTAGGTATGCTTGATCGATGCCGGCCCTCTCGCACGTGGAATCGCTGGTGTGTTCAAAGCTGGTAAGTAGCTTTCGAACTTCTCATATAACCGCTGTCAAGACGTTAAAAGTTCACAGCATACCCTTCTCCAGGATACCTCGATAGAATGTACTGCTCCAGGTCCTTGGAAGTTGGGGACTCAAGGAAGCCCTTACAGCTAAAATCATCGTGAACAGAATGCATAATACACATCAAATCAGGCACCCAACAACGAAGTCACGGCTTAAACCGTGTGAAATATACGGGTCCCATCGTATTGAACCAGTGGCACCGTTACCGCTCACATCCATCTTGTCTTGGACGCCTGGCTAACGTTCCTTACGGCTGTGAAAGAGGCATTTTAGCGAGCCACTGAGGTATAGCGCCAGCATGCGAGGCACCTCAGCAGAAACAAAGCGCTCTGATTGTGTTATTTAATGTCGCCTACCCCATATTATTGCGTAGGATCCTGACAATGCTCCCCTGCACTATCTTGCTTTTCGCTTTGTCTCTGGTGGGACAGTCCTTCTCTAAAGACATATCACTTAATTTGCACGTCAACAATGCTGAAGTCTCTCCCGATGGGTTCCCTCGCTCGTATGTCTAATTGTTGTGTGAGCCACATCATACTCCTGACTTTTTCACCTCATAGGGGTGTCCTCATGAATGGACAATTCCCTGGGCCCGTGATCACAGCACAGAAAGGGGACACACTGTTGGTACGCAGATTCATTTTATTCCCGTGTAAAGCACAATCAAATCGACCTCTTCAAAGCTCAATGTGAACAATGACCTGAAAGATCCTACCATGCGTCGCTCTACCTCCGTACATTGGCACGGCTTGTTCCAACACCGCACGGCTCAATCAGATGGCCCCGCCTTTGTCACGCAATGTCCCATCGCACCAGGCAATAGCTTCTTGTACAACATACCGCTCAACGACCAAACTGGCACTTTTTGGTACCACGTACGCATTTTACCCTAAATTCATTGGACCTGCCTTTTATATATGCTTCCTACAGAGCCATCTTTCAACCCAGTATTGCGATGGTCTGAGGCGAGTGCTATCGTATTTTTTTCGGGCTTAGGTTGACATTACTGCAGAGGCGCTTTGGTTATCTATGATCCTAACGACCCATTGAAGCATTTGTATGATGTGGATGACGAGAGCACAATAATCACGCTTGCCGATTGGTACCATACCGTGGCCCCGAACCTCACCACAACGTGTGCACTCTTTTATTCCCTTTAAACATTTTCGACTGACCTGCATGAAGGTTCATCAATGTCACTCACGTCGTGCCCATACCCGACTCCGGTCTGATCAACGGAGCTGGTCGTTTCATCGGAGGCCCAGAGACGCCTTTTTCCGTGGTGAACGTTCAGGCAGGGAAACGGTACCGACTTAGGGTAATCAATATGAGCTGCAGACCATTTAACAGTTTCTCCATTGATGGTCACACGTTGACAATCATGTGAGT